GTCTTCTGCAAGAACAACCAGTGTTCTTAACCGCTGAGCCATCTCTCCAGCCCCCAAAAATCTTTTTTAAAAATTAAAAAATGAGAAGAGATGGGACCAAAGCTCTGACCATTGTTCCTCCCCTGAATACTGGGACTGGAAAGAGGCCTGCCCTAGAGGGGAGGTGGACACTGAGCCGGAGAGATGGCACCCTGGTGAAGTTCTTTGGCGGTGCTTGCCCACAGCACCCACCCTCTTCCCAGGCCATCTGTTTGTGTAGACTCTCCCTGTTCCTGTCTCCCTGAACTTTTATGCTCTCACTCTCCCTTATAGAAACGCAGTCCCAGCTTTGGCTGCTTTTGGATATCGTCTGTTCACCAAAAGTTACTTGTCCTGAGCCAGTGAGATGGCTCAGTGGGTAAAGGGACTTGTTGCTAAGTCTGACGAGATGAGTTCAATCCCTGGGTCCTACATGGTGAAAGGAGAGAACAGACTCCCACAAGTTGTCCTCTGACCTCCACACATGCGCTGTGGCATGTGCAAACATGAGTGTGTTGACACACACACAATAAATAAAGTGTAATTTAAAAATTACTTGTCCTTTAATTCCCACGTGTGAGACCCTACTAAAGGAGGGACAGCCCATCATCGAGGCTGGCTTTGTTTCTACCAGAGTGCCACTGTGCATACCATGACAGGCTGTGTGTGCAGGTGACGAGATCTAAATGGTTTTTGCCATTTTCCTTCTTCCTCATGTCACTGAGGGGCCCATCCTTGGCAGTTCTCTGAGCCTGTGTGTTCTGCCTAACTGTGGGCACACACAGCCAGACACTGAGCTCTGGTGGATAGCTGTTAGGGGAGGAGCTAGGAAAGATCAGCCTACTATTAGTATAGAATGACCTTTCATTTGAGAAACTATTTGTCCAGAGCATTTGATAAAAAATTAACCTATCTACTGTATTAGCTCCTGCCATCAAGGTGCTAGAAATTTACTCAAAAATTTCATAAACTGACTTGGGTTGAGATGTTGGTGACCTGTCACCCATCTAGAAACTTTGTTATGACAGACCTTCACCTAGAGGAAAGTCAACCATGAGGCTGGAGTTGGGGTCATCCCTCAAAGCCCCCCAGGTGGCCCAGACCTGAAATACCAGATACATGGGAAGGTAATATAGGAGGATGGCAAGTTCAAGGTCTAGCTAGCCTAGAGAGCAAGTTAAGCCAGCCTGAGCAACTTAATGAGAATTGTATCTCAAAATAAAAAGTAAAAAGAGAGCAGAGGTTGGAGCTCAGTGATAGAACCCTTGCCTTGTATGCATGAGTTCCTGGGTTTAATCCCCAGTATCACAATAAAATAAGGGAAATAGAGTAATTCACAGGCTGGGGATGTAGCTAGAGTGTAGACATACATGCCTAGCATGCCTGAAACCTTGGGCTTCATCCCTAGCACCACATAAGGCCAAGAATGGTCATGTGTACCTATAATCCTAGTGCCTGGGAGGCAGAGGCAGGAGGATCAGAGCATTCTCAGCTGCATGAGAGTTTGAGGCCAGCCTGAGCTGTGCGAGACCCTGTCTAAAAGAGATTCATAGTGATGCATTCAAAGAAGTGGAACCAGAGATCGAGAGGCCGGCCAACACCACATTCTGGATGTCAGACAAACGTAACACATCCATCCGAATCACCTGCTCAAAGTGGAAAGTTCCTCATCTGCGCTCACAGGCCTGGTTAAGTTCAGAACAGCAGACTCTTTTTATACATCTCAGAAAGTGCTTGTCGGGCTCCAAGACCCATTCTGAGTCCCAAGTGCCAAATGTTGGATCCCGGAACAGAGTCACTCTGCAGCCCACAAGGTCACAAGGTGGCTTCCACAGATCGTTCCTTTCTCAGTATGACACGAGGGAAAAGGCAAACAGGCTGATCCTTTTCCTTCTTTTTGTTTCTTCCAACAGTGTCCTTGTGACCTCCCAGTGGAATGTGTTGTTTTGTTTTTCAGAAAAAACGAGCTTCGTTTTATGAGAACATCATTAAGGCCATGAGGCCCCAGCCTGAATACTTTGCTGTGGGATACTACGGACACGGTTTTCCTTCTTTCCTGCGGGTGAGGAGCCTGGGGGTGGTCTCCGGAGCCATTAGGGGTGGAGAAGAGACTCATCTCTCTTCCAGATGGGTGGCCGCGTGTCAGCAGCTGCTGGCCTGCGTGGGAGGTCGGGGTGTGGAGAGAGACCTCTTCCTGAGTGCTGACCTCTTTTACGCCACACCCCTGACACTCCTCTGTATTCTGGAAGATCCTTTGTTCAGTGCCTTTCCCCAGGTGCAACCAGATAAGGGGAAAACAGAATCAGCTCCCCCACTGGCCACGCTGGAGAAAATGTTGATGGATATGTTTAGTTGCGTATTTTACTTCTAGCCGGGGATATTTTGAAATCCATTATCCCAGAACAAGACAACAAGCATTTTTCCAAAGTAAAAATAGTTTTGCTGCAGTAACGACAGGGGTGAACTTTCTCTTCCTTCTCAAAACAATATCCATAATGTGGCATTGACTTTATAGTTTAAGAAGAGAAAACTTTCCAGAAAGACTTTTAGACTTGAACTTTGTTTAAACAGATATTTATCTAGCATCTTCCTCTAACTAAAAAGAAAATAGGGTGGACTAGGGATGTAGCACTGTTGGAGTGCTTGCCTGGATTTGCTCCCCTGCACCACCTAAAACTGGGTGTGGTGGCACACGCCCTTAATCACAGCACTGCTGAGGTACAGGCCCTCTCAAGTATCAGAAGTTCAAGGTCATCCTCAGCTACATAGTGAGAGTAAGCTGGAGGATGTCCTGGGCTACATGGCTACACAAGACCCTGCCTTAAAAAACTGTGGAACCACAACAGCAAAGAAAGCCCTTTACATTCCTAGTAGGACTTTCTGAGAAAGTATATATTCAGTATATGTCACTGGTTGCCTGCTCTGTGCCAGGCACTGGGGAGGCAGCAAGAATGCTCTGGTTACAGTCAGACATCGCCCTGTCCTCAGGGATTCTGAAAGCTAATGAGGCTGGTGAAGGAGTTAAAGGTTAACCTATGAATGTAAAGTTTAAAATGTAACCAAGAAAAGTAGCCCCTGCTGTAAAAGCTCTTAACCAGGATGTATTTACCCAAGTGAAATAGAAATCTGTTCCTTCCCAAATATTGCAGGGAAGTTTGTGGCAGCCTTAATCATAATCATCAAATATAGATGCAGCTCAAATGTCCATCAACGGGAAGGGAGGGATGAATTAGAATATCCACCTGATGGACGCTATTCAGCTCCTGGTAGTGGACTGGACTTTGGCTGTGGGTACGGTGACTTCCTCTATCTACAGATCTGGGTACCCCTTCATTCTCCATAGCTAACGATTTCCTTTGGCATCCCTGACCTGCAGAATAAAATCTTCATCTACCGGGGGAAGGAGTATGAGAGGAGAGAAGACTTCAGCCTGAGACTGCTGACCCAGTTCCCCAATGCCGAGAAGATGAGCAATACCACGCCTCCAGGAGACGATATCAAGTCATCCCGGAAGCAGTGCATCCTTGCTGTGGGGAAAGCAGCCCAAGGCTCCTAGCCCAGGACAGTCCAAGCTGAGTCAGATGTACTAAGGGTTGCAGCCCCCTCTGTGCAGGCAGATGTGCCCTGAGTCCTCAGAGTCCTCCTTCAACTACACAGTCTAAAAGTCTTGAGACCCTTAGGGAAGAGACGGTCAGTTAATCTTGAGGATGAAGGGATATATTTTATAACCATATGGGAGCTTGAGCAGGGCAGAGTTCCTGTCCTGAATTCAGGATTGAAACAAGGCGTCCAGCAGCACCTCTCCTTCCCTGCTTCTCACCTACCCATGGACACCAAAATATATAGATCCTCAAGTCCTGTACATGGCATAGGATTGATATACAGGCAATGCATATCCTCCTCAATACTATATTTTTGCTTGAGTGTGTGTGTGTGTGTGTGTATGGTATGAATGTGCATGTTCATGTTGCTTTTGTATGTGTGTGCACATCTAGGTGGAAGCCGGAGGTTGACGTCAAGCATCTTCCTCTATTGCTCTCTGTGACTTTGGTTTGTTTTTTGAGGCAGATTCTGTCACTGAACCTAAAACTCACCGAGTGATCTAGGCTGGCTGGCCAGTGAACTCCAGGAATCCACCTGTCTCTGCCTCCCTAGCACTGGGGTTCAGATGCAAGCCCACAGTGCTGGCTTCATACATGGGTGCTAATACTTGCACATCCTTTCCAAACAGAGCCCTCTCCCTAGCCCCTCCTAGAATCCCCTCATAGGGTGTACGTGCTGTGTGAATGTTGTCACACTGTATTAAGGAACAGTGACCAAAAAAAAAAAAAAATCTGTACATGTTCAGTACAGAAGGAATTCCTCAGTTGTCTTTAGGTGAAGAGCCTGTTGGTAACGAAGGCAGGCTGCATTGGTAGGGGGTGTCCAATCCAAACAGGAGCCCTTATCCCAAGCTGGTTTCAAGGCCTGACTTCACTTCCCAGTTACGGCATCTTGGGTTTTAACCTCTCTCAGCCTCGAAGTCTTCCTTTGCTGAAAAAGAACGGTGTTGTCCATCTTGTAGGGTTGTGCAATGCAGTAGAGATCAATTCAGAACACTTAGTAGAGTCACCAGGAAGGCGCGTCCTCAACAGTAGCATCCAAAGATAACAATTCCTGTTGCCTGGGCTCTGGAGTCTGGCTATTTCAGAGGGATATTTGTCCAAAAGGAGTCATTTAAAACTATTTCTGACCATCTATTTCCTGATGTTTCATGGACCCCTGTTTTCCTGTGGCAAGGATATTTACCAGGTATCTGGCTACAAGAAATGTCCCAGGCATCATCATTTAATCTCACTTTGTGGCAGTGCACATGGGAGCCTCACTTTCCCTGAAGTGCTAGCACAGGGTTAAAGGGGGTATGAGGTAGGAAACAGGGACCTCATCGTCTCTGGCACCTACAGCCTGGTCAACCTTTTCCTTTCCTTAACAAGCCCTCAGACCTGCAGTGCTTCACCGTGAAGCCCGTGATGAGCCTGCCACCCAACTACAAGGACAAACCAGTTCCAGAGCAGATCTTGAAGTAAGCAGTTCTTTTTTCAAAAAAGAAAATGATCAGGTTGATTACAACACATGCCTGTCAACCTGCACTGAAGGGGGCAGGGGCGGCAAGTTCAAGCTGGGTCTGGGCTGCATTGCAAGACCTTACTTGGACTACATCAAATTCATTGCAGTTGGGAAGTCCTACTACTTAAACAGTTTGGGGCATAAGATGAAAGCTTAACAAGTTAAAGCAACATGGTTTTGAATTGAGACAGAGGAGATCTGAATCGCACTCAGGCAAGCGATTCCTTAGCTCATAGTTATACTCAAACATCACTGAGGATCACCTTGCGTTTGAAGCTGCTTCCTGTCTTGTGAGACGCTAACACACCAGTGATGTTGATTGACAGCATAATTGCAAGTCTGTGCAGATGAGATCTCAAACAGGTATAAGCATCTTACCTTTTAAAAGTCTGAGCTGCAAAATAGACTTATAAATACTAAAAGTAAGATGTGGAACAAGACTCAGGTGTGCACTGTCCCAGGAGCTCAGTGTGGCCCTGTTGGCCAAGCGACAGTGGAGTGGGCAAGAGCCAGTGTCAGGTGTGTCATGTGCATGTGGTGAGTGTCAGGGCTGAGGGTGCTGGTTCCAAGAGGTCCAATGCAGGCATTCTGCCCTTCCCCAGCTACTACAGGGCCAATGAAGTACAGCAGTTCAGATATTCCCGGCCATTCCGGAAAGGAGAAAAAGACCCGGACAATGAGTTTGCTGTGAGTCTACCCACTTCGCCTTCTCTATGTGTGGGGGCAGAGGTCGGGGGAGGGTGCATGCACAAATGTGGACATATTTGGTGGGACAGGGGAGGATGGATGTACCTTCATTCGTGTGGAAACCAGAGGTCAATCTCAGGTGTCGCTCCTCAGGAGCTGTCCACCTTGTTTTTTAAAAAATATATTTTATTAAAAAAATACATTTTTTTATTATTTTTTTTATGTGTATGAGTATAACGCCTGCATGCATGTAAGTGCACCTGTGTCATGCAGTGCCCACAAAGGTCAGGAGAGGGCATTAGATCTCCTGGAACTGGAGCTACAGAAGGTTGTTAGCCACCATGTGGGTGCTGGGAATTGAACCCAGGTCCTCTGCAAGAGCAGCCAGTGCCCTTAACCACTGAGCCATCTCTCCAGCCCTCACCATGTTTGTTTGTTTTTTTTAAAGAGTCTCTCACTGGGACTTGCATCTAGCCAAGTAGGCTAGGCTGGCTAGATACTGAGCCCCAAAGTGTGTGTCCCCACCCATGACTTTTTGCATGGGTGCTGGGGATCGCTCTCAGGCCTTCATGATTGCACAGCAAGTACTTTGTCAACCGAGCTCGATAAAATGCCTCTCCCATCGGCACACACTCCTCAGGAGAAGCGACTTCACTTGGTAATCACTGATGCAACAGGCTGTCCGCCTCAGTAGAAACCTCTAGACTGAAGGTCACGAAGCTGGACTCTGCTTCTGGTCTTGCTGCTGACATGACATCACACTTGCACTGCCCTCCCTGACCTCACGTTTCCATCCTAAGAGTAGGAGAGTCCAAACACACCATCCTTGGCAGCTCAAAAGCCAGAATCCTTAAGTTTTATGAGGAATTGTGTTCCATTCCCTTGGAGACATAAGGAAATGGAGTCTCACCTGACTGGCCCGGGCGTTTCAGCTGTGTGACCTTGGAAGCTGACCACTGTTTCTCGTTTTCTTTCCTGCACCAGACCATGTGGATTGAACGGACCACATATACAACGGCCTATACCTTCCCTGGGATTCTCAAGTGGTTTGAAGTCAAACAGATTTCAACAGTGAGTCATTTGAAGTTGTAACTCAGAGGGGAAAAATAAAACCCTTTCTGTCTGCAAATATAATAACAGCCTTTGTTAAATTCCACAGCAGGCTGCACCAGCTTGGCTCGCCTCCTCTGGCCAACTTTGTTTTTCAAAAGAGAAATAAAAGGCACACTTATACCAGAGGACCACTTTGTAAAACTGATGTTACAACACCAACCCTAAAGGTCACTCTCAGAGAATGACTCTTTCAGGGCCCAAGAAGCTTTGTCTCCCCCACAGGCCTGCTAGTGCCCAGAAACATGGCTGGAATGCCTCTAGGGAGCTGTCTGTCAGCCACGTCTTCCCTCCCGAAGCATGTTTTGTTCTCAGCTCATTGCGTCACCAGTAACTGTAGCTCCTGCCCCATCTTTACGCCCCAAAGCAGCTGTTTTTACCTTTATAATATTTATGTATCTGTTTTCCCTCTAGCTCCCCTGTGTTATTTCCTTGTTTCTCACCCCAAGCTCTGCTTGGTATTGCTGAAGAGGTCTCCTGTTGCCTCCCTGCCCTGGTCTCCTCAGCCTGTCTTCCTCATTACCTCAGAATGTGGATCCCATTGAGAAGGCCTGGATATGTCATGTGTTCTTGTTCAAGCTCCCTAGGGCCTATGGTACAGAGCTCATCATCATCTCCATCCACCTCCATCATCTCCTTTCACCTCCATCCATCTCTATCCACCTCTGTCCATCTCCATCCGTCTCCATCTACTACCATCCACCTCTATCCATCTCTCTATCTCTACTACCTCCATCCACCCCAGCCATTTCCGTCCACCTCCATCCACCTCCTTGTACCTCCACTCATCTCCAATCATCTCCATCCACCTCCAACCACCTGTATCCACTCCATCCACGCCCATCCACCATTTAACTTGAGTCACTTCTGACCACGGCCATCCATCTCCTTCCACCTCCATTCAGCTCTTTCCATCTCTTAGTGAATCTATTGGAACTAAGATTTTAATATTGTTCAAGCCCTGTATAACATTGGGTCTTTTGAAACTTTATTTCTACTTTTGGCATTGATGTCCTCTTACCACTTCAGAATGTAACTTCCATCGAGTTCAGGGTGGGACCACCTTTTCCATGAAGCTGCCTCCGGAATTTCCCACCATAGTTAGATATCCTTCGTGGTCTCTGGCCCCATTGTATTCTGGACATATTTCTAACCCACCCTGTTTGAAAGTTTTGAGTTCTCACAAAACTGTAAGCTCCTACCAGCCTTGAATTACGGTGAGCCTTCTAAATGTGCAGTTCCGCACACAGTGATTCAACCAGCTGTAGATTAACCAGCTGCGGATTGTGTGCTATGAATTTAGGTCTAGCATAGTTGCTTCTGTACTAAACATGTACAGACGTTTTCCTTCGCAGGACAATGTAATAAAATAGCCACCAGTTGCATAGCATTTGCATTGCCCTAATTCCTACCAGTAATCTAGAGGTAATTAAAGTATTAGCATGGTGACACATGCCTTTAATCTCAGCATTCATGAGGCAGAGGCAATCCAGGGGCAACGTAATGAGACCCTGTCTTGAGAGAGAGACAGAGACAGAGAGAAGGAGGGAGGGAGGAAAGAAGGAAGGAGGGAGGGAGGGAGGAAGGAGAGAATATGGTAGGATATACAGAAGTTATATGTAACTGCTACACAATTTTAGAGCAGGCATTTGAGCATCCATAGATTTTGGTGCCTTCAAGGTCCTAGAATCCATTCCCTACCACATACAGTGCATGGTTATTTATCTTCTTCATCGCTCTTGTAACTCTGGGGTGTATCATGGCACTTAGCATAAAGTAGTCGTTTGAGATATATTTATTGACTAAGCATATGTACTGACATGTCAAGCACTCATCTAGTATGCACAAGTCTTGGTTTCTGTACACAACAAAGGGAGAAAAATGAGTTTCTTGGAGCCAGGCATTTCTTGGAGCTGGATGTGGTAGGCGAGTGATATTCCAGCACTCAGGAGGCTGAAGCAAAAGGATCTCTGCAAATTTGAGGCTAGTCTGGTCTATGTAATGAGGTGTCTGTCTCAAAACAACAAGCAGAAAGAAGAGAATGAAGATGGGGGGGAGGGGAGGGGAGGAGAGGAGAGGGGAGGGGAGGGGATATTTCTGGACCAACATGATCTGCAGTTTGAAGTATTCCTTAGTGTTAGTGAGAAATCATTGTTCTTCAAGTCTGTTATTTCTGGATGGAGACTTTAGGAACGAGGACTGGGGTAAGACATATGGACAATGAAGGGCAAAATAAAAGAGGTGACTTTTCTGGAAACCTGGTTTGGAAGAAATTTCCAGAAGAGGAATCTATTCGTATTGCCTATGATTGCATTTTCATCCCAAACTCAGCCTAATTCCCTCTCACCCGTTATCCACAGACTCTGCCCTAAGGTGACTTGGCATGGGGTCTGAATATAGGACTTCCAAGATCACTTGCTTTTTCTCTCAGAAAGGAGTAAATTTTCCAGGGGACCCTTTCCACTCTCAGTGGCACAGAAGTGTCTCAGATCTACTAGTCACTGTCACACAACTCCTGAGGCAGCTTTGTCTGAGAAATACTCCAGGCTACAGCTCCAGACTTTTTCCCTTCTCATATTTTGTATGACATTTTCACTCCAAGAAATCGTCATTCTCACAGACTAGATTTTACATCAGCAGCCTGCCTCCCAAAATTTTCAGTATCTGACTTTGCATTTGTCCACCGTTGTAACAGAAAAGAACGGAGTCCTAATAAACATAATCTTAACAAGCTCATTGTAGGCATTTGCTACCTCTTGAGAGGAATGATTAAACTGGTTTCAGTCATCACAGTGCGGCTCACAGACAGTCCTCCTCCCACATGTTCTGTCCTTCAGGAAGAAATCAGTCCTTTGGAGAATGCCATAGAAACCATGGAACTGACCAATGAGAAGATCAGCAACTGTGTGCAGCAGCATGCCTGGGACCGGTCCCTCTCTGTGCACCCGCTTTCCATGCTGCTCAACGGCATCGTGGACCCAGCTGTCATGGGGGGATTTTCCAACTATGAAAAGGTGAGTCCAGCTCCCAAATCTCACAGGACTTAGGGGCCTCCCCCTGTGCCAAAGTGCTCTGGTGAAGTGGTTTCCTACAGTTTCTCTGCGTTTTCACTCTGCCCTCTGTGAATAAGCATATGAAATTAACAAAAGGATTGTCCCTGGCCTCCTCTTGCCCTCTGAAGCGTTGCTGAAAGAATGCCAGTTCCAGGTGCCTCTGGCCGATGCACCTGCTGTTCTGCCTTCTGGAAGGAAGACAGTTCTCAGGTGGACCCAGAGCCCAGGATGCTCTTCAAGTGAAACCCCTTCCAAGCGTTTCAGAGATGTTTTATTCATAGTGAGTTTCCATCATCCTCCAGCCTGACTTAGATCACGTTGTGTGGACTTAAGATGGTTGCAAATTGTATTAGTTACTTTTCTGTTGCTGTGATAAAATACCACATCCAAAAGAAACTTAGGAAGAGTTTATTTTGGCTTACAGTTCAAGAGGGATAGAGCCCATCATGGTGGGGAAGGCGTGGCTGCAGGAACAAGAAGCTGGCTGGTCACCTTTTCATCTACACACAGGAAGACAGAACAAGAAGTGAGATGAGCGTAGACCTCAAAGCCTGCCCCGACTGACGTACTTCCTGCAGCAAGACTGCAACCCCAACAGCTCCATAACCTCCCCAGACAGCGCCACCACCTGGGGTCCAAGTGTTCAAATACATGAGCCCCTGGGGGACGTTTCTCATTCAAACTTCCACACAGCTTTACCATTATTTTTGTCCAACTGAGTGTTAAATCTGTTACGCTGAAAAAGCATGAGAGGCATACTAATCACATATAGTCCACCACATGGGGTTTGTTTAGAACACCGTTTAGTTGGAGGTCATGAATCCAGTCGAGGTTAAGCACAATTACTAGAGACAGGAATCATAGTTATTATGGGAATGTTCAGTGGCCGAATATTGCGGGGGGAGGCTCTTCTTGAATAAAAATAAGCATTTGGCAAGGAGGTCCCTTCGAGAAGGCAGGAGAGTTGGTGGAGAGGAAAGAACCTGGAAGGTGGCACGTGGCCCCTTTCTGGCTCTCTACTGGCCACTCTGTGTTCCTGGACAGCGTGTGTCACTTCTCTGAGCTTGCAGGTACCTGCAAAGTGAGGATATTTCCCAACTTACAGGATGGATTTGGGGATTAAGGGAGCCAACTTGTGTATAGACAGGCATCATTCAACATACTTTCCTGAATTCATTGAAGGAAGAGGCTGTCCTAGGACAGGGGTGAATTTTCAGCTGGACACTCCTGGTTTATCATTACACAAGAGGTTTTCTATTTTCCAGCTGTCTTCTCTCTCTTACACTCAGATGCATGATAGGTATAGACCATAAGTAATGCTTGCATGTGCTCTGCCTTTAGGCTTTTTTTACAGAAAAGTACTTGCAAGAACATCCTGAGGACCAGGAGAAGGTAGAGCTGCTCAAGCGACTGATTGCCTTGCAGGTATGTATGTAGCAGGGAGGCACGCAGCTTCCAGCTGTGCGCAGTACTCCAGAGAGGTCCCTGCATCTGGTTCTAAGTCTCCAGAGCTGGAGACTGCATGCCACTTTCTGAGTTGCTTTCTTTTCTTAAAGCTTATGGAACCATGCCCTGAATCTGCCTGGCCTTGGTGTCCCTCCCCGCCACCCCCTACCTGTGTGTGTGTGTGTGTGTGTGTGTGTGTGTGTGAGAGAGAGAGAGAGAGAGAGAGAGAGAGAGAGAGAGAGAGAGAGAGAGGCATAGGAATGGTTTAACTGCACAGTGTGGACAGGGGCTTCCTTTCAGCTGGGATGAAAGTCCATAAACTAGGGTTGGGAGATGACTTGGTTGATAAAGGTCTTGCCTTGCAAACATAAGAACCTGAGTTTGATCCCCTTAACCCATGTTTAAAAAAAAAAAAAGCTGATAGTATGCTCTTGTAATCTCAATACCTAGGATTGGAGACAGGCAGATCTCTCAGACTTGCTGGTTAGCCAACCTAATAAATTGGTGAATTCCAGGTCAGTGAGAGACCTTTTCTCAATAAAGGTGGATGGCATCTGAGAATGGCAGCAGAGTTTGTCCTCTGGCCTCCATCGGCATGAGCACACACGTGCACTTCTGCATACACACACACACACACACACACACACACACACACACACACAGAGCCCATAAACTGGTTTCCTAGCCTGTGTTTTTTGCTGACAGATGTTCTCATTTTCTTCCTCGTCATTTCAATAAACACTAGTAGAAAACAAAGCCATCAACGTCAGTCTAAGGCCCATATCTACCCACTGCCCATCCATGGAAATGCCCCAGCACTCAGTTGGATTAGCTTTGCCTATCAGCCCTCCTGGAGTCTTTGTATCTTTGGTGTGCAGAGTTCTCTGCATCTTAGACGTAGTTCCCAAGCCCTCGACTGTGAAGAGTTGCTCTTGTGAGATGGTTCCGTGTCTATCAGTTAGCCTGTCCATCCCCACCCCACCTTGCTCCAATCTCCAAATCTGAGTTGCCCTCCTCAAACCGTATCTCTTCCTTCCAGATGCCTCTCCTCACAGAAGGGATCCGTATCCACGGGGAGAAGCTGACAGAGCAGCTCAAGCCGCTGCATGACCGGCTGTCTTCATGCTTCCGAGAACTAAAGGAAAAAGTAGAGAAGCTCTACGGGGTGATAACACTGGTAAGCTTTGTCTACATGGCCCTCAGACTCTTCCTCTTACCCTTTACGACATTGATTGGGGTTCCAGAAGACAAATCACTCACACAAGCATGTGGGCAGGCGAGAGAGAATGTATTCTACTTTTGATCACCTTGTACCGTCCCTGGGATAGATAGAGATTCTCAAATTTGACTGGCCATTAGAAATACTGGAGAGCTTGTGAAACAGATATCAGGGCTTCAGAGTTTCCGATTCCATAGTTCGGGGCAGAGCCGGAGTATTGACAGTTCTAACAAGCTCCCGGGTGATGGTATTTACCAAGGCCACTGGGCTGGGTGGAGAACTTTGAAAACACTTCAGTGCACTTAAGAGTTTCCTGGTCTCACACTTGAGAGTTTCCTGGTCCTATGCACTGTCCGTTCTTTCCTGTCTTACCTAATGCTTTTGTAACTTTTCCAAATCTTCCCTATTTGGATAAAAGTTTAGTCTTCATGCCTCTAAAGGGAAAGAGGAATTTTAAACTCTGTTTTATAGTGCGTGCACCTGACTCTGCTATCTTTGCCAATTTTAACACCCTCCTTGCCCATAATTCCAAGTGCGTTTTCCCCAGAGGAGCTGAGTGAGGGTGCTGACCTGTACTTTCCCACAGTTGATGGTATGATTGCTTCTGGTCCTTTCTCTTCTCTTTGTCCTTGAGTTCATCTTGCCCTCTCTGTCTGGTTCTTGAACCCTTGACTTTTAGATTCTTTCCTCAAATAAAAGCTCTGCACACATCCCCAGGGCAGTTTTCACCAAGAGGTCTCTTCTAACCCTTTCCTTCAGTCATCAGAGTGCCCAGTCTTGCCAAGTGTGGTGATATGTACCTGTAGTCTCAGAACCGAGAAGGCTGAGGCAGGAAGGTTGCTATTTGAAGCTAACCTGGGCTACATAACCAGCCTGTGTCTCAAAGCAAAAACCAAAACAAAACAGTCTTACCTTCTTCCTGAGTCTTTCCTTCTTCCTTGCTACTGTCTAAGAACATTGGTCTTTTGCACCCAAGTTCCTAGAACTGAGCCTTCGAGATACTGAATTTCACCTGGTATGGTGGCACACGCCTTTGATCCCAGCACTTGGGAGGCAGAGGCAGGAAGATCTCTGTGAGTTCAAGGCCAACCTGGTCTACATAGTGAGTTCCAGCCCAGCTGGGGATACAGGGAGACCATGCCTCAAAAAGACTGAAAAAAAAAAAAAAAAAAAAAAAACCATTTTACTAAATTTAATCCTCCATCCTCATTAGAATCCAGCAAATTTAATATGATGCCAATGACGTCATGCATTTTTCCCTGGTGACATTTGTTGTGAAAATACAACATTCCTAGATTCCCTGAGACTGAACGAGGCTAAGCTTCAGGTCCTCCTTAGACTTTTCTCTAAGGTCAATATATCATATTCTCATAAAACAAACAGGGTGGCTAGTCCGTGTCGTACCCGCTGTGTTACAGCCTGCTAACCCCGACGGGCTGTGTGTCTTTCAGCCGCCCAGCTTGACTGAGAGGAAGCAAAGCCGCACGGGCTCCGTGGTGATGCCCTACATCATGTCTTCCACACTGCGCAGGCTGTCCGTCACCTCACTGGCATCCTCTGTGGTCTCCACCTCCTCCAACTCTTCTGACAACGCCCCCTCCAGACCAGGATCTGATGGGTAAGGCTTGTGAAGGGTCGAGCAGTGCCTTGGGACCTTAGCCTCTGGTCACCAAGGTGAGATTTGGTGTGTGTTGGCACACCACGCGTCGGAGGAGAGTAATTCATTGTCACTAATCTTGGGTTCTTCTTGTGTTGTTCTTCATGGAGAAGATCACGGAAATTAGTGATGTTAACTGATAATAAAAAAGTTACTGATAATACAAAACTACAGTTACTTCATGGGCACTGCCTGATTGCTCATCATTTGAATTATTTTAAAACAACTTCAAATCTACATTTACCAATGAGTTGTATATTCATATAGTGTGAAATTCCAGAGGTAGAAAATAATATGAAAAAAATCTTTTGTTTTTAAAGTTCAGTTTATTAGACATCAATAGACAGTTTCGTGCATGTGTGCGTGTGTGCATGCTTGCGTGTGTGTACACATGTGGCTGCTCTTGTGCATGCAGGCACGTGTAGAGGCCAGAGGTTGATACAAGGCATCTTCCTCAGTCACCCTTCACCTCACTTTTTAGAGCCAAGGTCTCTCCCTGAACCTGGAGCTTGCCATATGTCTAGACCTGGCCAGTGAGCCCTGGATCCCGTTTCTGTCCCACAACACTGGGGTATTCTGCTATGCCTGGCTGTGTTTATGTGGGTTCTGGGGATCTCAACTCAGGTCCTTGCACAACAAGCAGTTTATCCACTGAGCCATCTTCCCAGCCCTGAAAGTCTCTTTTTAGTCTCTGGCTCCTAATCAGTACTGTGGGGGTGCAATGCCACAGTACAGCAATGCCTGAGTACAAACAGCCTGACTCTTAGCATCCATTTCAGTCAACAGTCGGGTTGTGATCGCATGTGCCTTCAGATTTCTCCTGGAACTGTGCGCATGAACAGAAGCCTACCTCTCTCTGTATTGAAACCAGACATCTAGCACTAAATAGAGAAATAAAGTAAAAGTAAACCCTTATCTTCAGAGAAGGCATGTGCCACCACCCCTGGCTCAGACAGAACTTTTTTTTTTTGTCTTTTTGAGACAGGGTCTCCCTGTAGCCACAGCTGGCTTGGAACTCAGTACGTAGAACAGGCTGACCTCAGTCTCATAGAGATCTGCCTGCCTCTGCCTCCGGAGTGCTGAGATTAAAGTTGTGTACCATCAAGCCCAGCCAGACAGAACTTAAAAGAAGGAGAAATTAATCTGAAATGAGAAAAATCACTCTGCGCCAGGTATCATGGCTCATACCTATAATCCCAACACTCGGAAAGCAGAGACAGGAGAGTTCAAGGCTACCTTGCGATGCAGAGCGATACCCTGACTCAAAACAGCATAGAATAGGAGATGAGCTGTCTGGAGTCACTGCCGTGGAAATGCCAGCACTTCCTTGGGTAGATCTCCCCAGAGCTCTCTCAGCCTGCGTCTTCATGGAACAATACTTCTAGACTGGAGAAGAGGGAACCTTGAGTATTTTAAAAGCTTACAATGTGTTAATAAGCAAATCAGCTGAATACAGTGAGTGAATCTTGCCTGGATCCTAATTCAAATGAGCCATTAGTTAAAACATTTGAACATTGAATGTTTGATGAAATTAGGGGATGACTCCTTTTTAAGCATGGTGATGGATTGTAGTTAGGAAAACAAGACCTTGTCTTCTAGAAACTCCCTCTGGAATCAGGATAGACAGGACACCAGGGAACTCTTTCCAAGTATTTCGGGGAGGAGTGAGGGCTGTAATGGGGTACACAGATAAAACAAGACTGGCTCTGACCCAGTCATTATTGGTGGCAGGTTGCACACATCGAGTTTATTACATTCTCCACTTTTTATGTAGAAACTCATTAATAAAATTTGAAAAAAATCTTTGCCTAATCTAATTTCAAACTCCCAGACTCAAGTGATCCCTTCTTCGGTTTCCTGCGCGACTGGGACTATAGGCATATTCTATCACACTCAGCTTCAAATATCTTATTTTAAGTGTTATATATTTAGCAATAAGTGAAACCAAATTAAAAAAAAAGATTCGGAGCCGTGTGTGGTGGCGTGTATCTTAACCCAGCACTCAGGAGGCAGAGGCAGCTTGGTCTACATAGTGAGTTCCAGGCTATCTAAAAAAGTCCCCCCTCCCCAATATATATTTGGACTTTTTTTTTTTTTTTTTGTCTTTTTGTGACAGAGACTCCCTGTAGTCCCAGCTGTCCTGGAACTCACTATGTAGACCAGGCTGGCCTTGAACTCACAGAGATCCTCCTGCCTCTGCTTCCCGAGTGCTGGGATTAAAGGTGTGCACCACCATGCCCAGCTGGAGTTCTTTTTTAAAAAAATATTTTCTTTATTAATTTTATTTTCTGTGTATGAGTGTATTGCCTGCATGTATGTAAGTGCACCTGTGTCATGCAATGCCCATGAAGGTTAGAAGAGGGCGTCAGATCCCCTGGAACTGATGATGTTAGGGATGGTTGTCAGCTGCCATGTGGGTGCTGGGAATCAAACCTGGCTCCCCTGCAAGAGCAGCTAGTACTCTTAACTGCAGAGCCATCTCTCTAGCCCCTTGGACTTCTTTTTTAAATAAAGTACTGATTTATAAATTTTTTTAAGTTAGGCTACCCTTTCTCTCTGGTCATTCTTAAAATTTTTCAACAGCATATTAAATATATATATATATTCCATCTAAAATATGGGCATTACTCATCAAGTTATCCCCTCTGTGTAGTGTCTAATCATGATTCTTGAATGGATCCAGTTTTCATTACAGTGATTGGACATCTGTTGCTATACTTAGCAGACATTTCACAAGCACTCACTGGTGCCAAGCACTGACCTAAGTATTTTGTAACAACTCAATCAAGTAGGTATTATCATCATCCTATTTTACATATAAGGAGTCTAAGATATTGTGGCCAAGGTCATCCAGCAAGCAAATGTGGGTAGTGGGTAGGATTTAAATTTAGGCCCCCTGACTTCAGAACATCTGCCATTACCTACCATGCAGAACTACAGAGCTGTGCACTCATCTTTCACTTTATTAATTCTGTCTTTATCTCTTCCTGGGACAAGGTAAATATTCACAGGGGCTACGGAGGTGGCTCAGTTGGTAAAGTACCTGCTGCACAAGCAGGCAGAGCTGGGTTCGAATCCATAGCAGCAGGTCAGAGCCTAATGTGGCAGCAGACATCTATAAGCGCAGTGCTGGGGTTGGGTGGAGGCGGGCAGTTTCCCAGCTCATCAGCTGACCACTGGAACCAAATCAATGAGCCCCTGGTTCAGTGGGAGACCCTGTCTCAAAAAATAAGGTGGTAAGTGATAGAGGAAGACTCCAGACATTGACCTCTGGCCTTCACATGCATGCGCACCTGCATGTACACACGTTTTCACATCCATGTGAACACACACATGCACCAAAAAGAGATAAATATGCACTCACGCTCTCCCCCCTTCATTTGATGATCTCATTCCTGTTCATTTTACCCTCAGTGGTTTATTCAGTCAGCAGATGAAAACTTGGTGGATAACCTGGGAGTGAAGTAATGGGTGAAAAGGGGTTGGACTGCTGGTCTTCTGGGGTGAAGTCTACCACTCTGGGATCAGCATTTGCAACTTTTGTCCTTGCTGGCTGACAGGTCCATCCTGGAGCCACTCTTTGAGCGAAGAGCTTCGTCAGGTGCCAGAGTTGAAGATGTGCCACCCAAAGAAGATGGCGAGAACCGGATGAGCAAGTTCAAGAGAAAAGACTGGAATCTGAGCAAGTCCCAAGTCATTGCAGAGAAGGCTCCAGAGCCGGATGTGATGGTAAAAAACAGAAAGAGCAAAGAGCAGCAAGCACGGCCGGGTCCCACCCCTGCTCTGCTATAGGCCCCCTTCATTGGCTGCAGAGCAGTGAGTCACAGACAGAAATTCGGCAGCAGCTGGTCTCAGGACACAGCATCCTGTGGTAGAGCAGGATCACAGATGGCAGGGAGAGACGCACGTGAGGAGAGTTTTGAGTCTCCAAATCAATATTGGCATGATATCACATACCCACATAGTAAACATGTGGATGCTTCTTGGAGTTGTAGTTCTTGCCACCGTGTTCCATGAGTCAGTACAAACATTACCATTTCCCTTCGAGTTTTCCCTTCTGTAAGCCACCTCAAGTTGTTAAATGTGGCAAGACCAACTTTCACTGAGAGTCAAGGTGGCTTATTTCCAATTTAAATGACACAGTGTGGTCACACTCAAACCACTAGCCAGACCAAAAAATGATCTGTGGTTCAGTGTGATTCCCAGTGAGTATCTCTCTCAGTGCCTACCATGTGACATGTAGTAACCTTCGAAGTGGCTCTCAGAGGGCTTAGGGAGATGGCTCAGTGGGTAACACACTTGTCACATAAGTGTGAGGATCAGAGTTCACACCCCCAGAACCCACATAAAGGCTGAGTGGGTGTGACAGCTCCTATGAAATCTCAGCACACAGGAAGCTGAGACATGGAGCTCGCTAGCCAGACTAACCGAATCAGTGAACTTTGGGTTCAGCAAGAGACCCTGCCTCATTATGTAAGAGAAAGAGAAATAGAAGAAGTTACCAGGTCTCAACCTCGGCCCTCTACACGCATGCACAAACACGTGCACATGCACCCACACGTTAAAAAAAAAAAAAAGTAAGAAAAGTGTTTCTTGGAATTAGGCCCTTGTGCTGATCTCTGTCTAGCACTCAAGGCTGCTGGGGGCATTGTTGCGGTCAGCCAAGTTCACCACGAGAAAATTTTACCGTTTTCCTCTGTTTCCAGAGCCCAGGCAGAAAAACGCAAAGGCCAAAGAGTCTCCAGCTGGTGGACAGCCGGCTAACGCCATTCCACAGTTCTTCACCTCCTCAGTCTACAGCCCTGAGTCCACCTCCACTCACTCCCAAAGCTACCCGGACCCTAAGTAAGGCTTCCTGTGTCTCTTAGGTTTATTCTGCTAGGAAATAGAGTGTGGCCACAAATCAGGACAATTCTTTATCAAACCAGCTACATTATATGAGGCAGTTACAGAGTTGGTTCTGTTCAGTGGCTGTGGGAATCATACACTTTTCTCAGTAGCGATCCAAACTATAAATCCCATAGGAAGTTACCACTAAGTAGGTAGACCAGTTTGGAGACAACAAATAGACCCATTCCATGTGCTACCATCAGCATTAACTTTAAATATACAGTGTTTGAGAAGGTTCCCATAATGCAGAGGCTATAGGAGAGGGACACATCCAGCAGGGCCCAATGGGAACAGCATTCAGTAAGAGTTGGGCATAGTAAGGGGAGGCTGCCCGCAGGAAATGGGTATGTCCCTAAGCACTCAGGATACGTCAGAGAGCAGCTCCTCAACTTCAGAAAGTTCTGAGCTTTAGCTTAAGAGTAAAAGTTGGACTTTAGACTTCAGATTCTCTGTGAAGGCTTTTGATGAGTGAAAGGAATGTCTTCTCCAGTGTCTCCATGGAAACCACAGGAAACGACTCTGGCAATGTGTGTGAAGCTGGTTTAGGGGCCTGGTGGCAAGCCTTCTTTTTATGAGAACTCTGGGTGAAATCCTTCACTTCCTCTCATTTGGATCGTTTCCAGGCTCCCCGTCTTTGCAGACAGATGGGCTGACGACTTCTGTCCCTCCTCCACCTCCTCCCAAAAGCAAGCCCTATGACAACAGCCAGAGGAACTCAGCCGAGGTAGGGAATCCACAGCTGGCCATCAGTGTGGCCACCAAACAGCACCCCTGGGAAGACGGCACTGGATTATCCACTGTTCAGAGCAGCGGCTTTCTCACACACTAGCCAGTGCTTGGTTCACTGCTGAAGACCCACGAGCTAGAAAGGAAAAGAGGCAGCAGACTGCTTGACATAATCGTACAAGTAAAAGAGTGCTCTCTGCCTCCCACACTGAGAGGGAGTGGTGGCAGAGTAGTGAGATGAGGGAGTGCAAGTTCACACCAGAGAGTCGCGTCTGAGTGACAGGTGGTTGTTCTGGGGGTAGACATGGATGGGTTTCTTTCCTTCATTCGGCAAATATTTATAGAGTGCTTCTTAAATATATGACCAGGTGTTTTGGGGATGCAACCATGATGCTGTGTGTGTGTGTGTGCGTGCGCGCATGTGTGTGATCAGCTCAAGGGAACAAAGAGGACAAATGAGTCTCATTCCCCTTTTGCCTTGCACAGACTCTGTGGATAAATGCAGATCAATTTGACAGTAAAGCCAAATGTGTGCGATGGGGAGAAGGCTGAACTTGGGGGAAAGGAAGGGTTGTTTCTAATTCTCTGTGTCCGCTCCCCAGATTGCACCCCCACTGCCTGTCCGAAGAGAAGCCAAAGCCCCACCCCCACCCCCTCCAAAGGCTCGGAAATCTGGTATCCTCTCCTCTGAGCCAGGCGCCCAGTGAGGATGTCACCTGGCTCTGCACCTCTGAGTGCCTTGGACCACTGCTGCCTGAGAATGGCCAGGAAGAGAGGTCAGCGTCACCGTGTGGTGGTCCTGCGGTCTGTGCTTCCTGGGCTAAGATGATGATCCTTAACTCAATGGATTTTGTCCTGCCAAAGGCTTCTCTTTGATGGATATCTGGGTGCCCCATGCCCTCCAGCTCATATAACTTCTGGAATTGGCCATCTCTCTTCGTGTCCCATGGTGACATTTTGGCCTTAACCATGGATACTGGGGGTCCACCAGTTCTCCCACCGTGACACAGTGACACAGTGAGGGTGGAGTGAGGAGCAGCCTGAGCATTTGACTCTTGGTGGATTTCTCGCTTTGCTTCTGAAAAGCTGTGCTTGAGACTTCTTCTGTGTGCATCTATATCTTATCCAGCCTCTTGTTAGAGCTGAGGATCAAGTACACTCCAGCAGCAGGCACGGCTCTCCTCTCATATTTACTGTCTCCTCTGAGGGAAAGAGCACATTTGTATGTGGGGCAGGCTGCTGGGCAGAGGGGTGCCTGGCTGTCATCGCTGAGACACCTTGGACTCTCATCTGTCACACTCTGTGAATGGCCCTCACTATGCAGCGGTCACTTGCTGTACCTTGGAGTCCTTTGAAGCTTTTTTGCACAGTTTCTCAGCCTCTTCCTCTGAGTTCAAATCCCAGGTTGTAGGGGATCTTGGAGCTCTGGCTCTACCAGCTTCATTTCTGGCCCCCATTTGGACTACGTAGTCCCTGCCTGCTACCTGATTTTACCCTGGAGAATACAGTGCAATATTTCCCTTTATGTATTCCTCTTGATCATAGAATTAATTTGATGATTTTATTTGCTAATGGTACTAATGCCTAGACTCCTTTCAGAAGAAATGGGATGGTTTGGATAACCAAATACTGCATACACATAAACCACCATGAGTACAGATATTCTGAGTTAGATGGGTTTTAAAATTCGTACACAATACACACGCCCCCCATTTTGGAGTGAGGAAATTGGGGCTACACACAGAAAGTGGTACTATGGATTCTTACTGGTAGCCTGCTTGCTCATTTAGGCTATGCCAAAGACTTACATGCAGATCTGGAAGACATCTCTTGCCAGGTCTTAAATGCCTTGCCCTAGTTGGAACAGTATTTGAAAAGTCCCAGCTAGTTCTGCCATATTTGGATATTGATGGCAAAGCAGAAAACTTCCTGGTTGTGACTCAGGTCTAGGGTCTCTCATTGACCTTGCCCAGAATCCTATCCTCCAAGTTCAAGAGAGATTTCAGCTGTGAGAAGCACATTTGCCTGCCTGCCTCTCTGTGCAGCTCCTTTCACTACCACCTTTATTACGAGAAACATAAAGATCCAGGAAGCAGAAGCTTCTGAGACATGCCTGGCATGCTACTCAAGAGCCTACTGTGCATATTCTAGAGATGGCATGGAGCTCCCTTCTTTACCCCCATCCAGGAAATACAATGTGATCGTAGACTCTCAAATTCTAAACTCATTTGGTCTCATATCTCAGGTGTCACCATTAAGTATTCTAGAGATGGCATGGAGCTCCCTTCTTTACCCCCATCCAGGAAACACAATGTGATCGTGGACTCTCAAATTCTAAACTCATTTGGTCTCATATCTCAGGTGTCACCATTAACTTTGCCAACTCCCCCCAAAGCATTTGAAATTCTCAGCGTTTACTTTGGTCATGCAGTGGGTGTCCTTCCATTCTCTGTTAGGTCTGAGGAAGCTCTGGAACTCTATGTGCATTTTGATAATTATTCTTCCACAAGGTATCTGAGGGTGAGTGTAGGTTAGCACTGCATGTACAGTTCTCCAAACCATGGCAGCATCTGGAGCCTTTTGCATGGAAGCACTGGTAGTAAGAACTGAAGAGAAGCTGGGTGTGGTGGTGTATGCCTGAAGTATTTGGGAGGCAGACGCAGGCAGATCCCTGCAAGATCAAGGCCAGCCTGATCAACATAGGGAGTCCCAGGCCATCTGGGGCTACAGGGAGACCCTGTTTCAAAAAGACCATAAAAGAGATTAGAACTTCTAAAGAGATTCTGCACAGTGGTTAGAAAGGGTTTATACACTTCACTATACTTTGCAGGCTACCATTGAAATACACAGATGGAAACTAGATTGGAAAAAGAAAAGCAAAACTCTAGCCTCTCTGCAGAGCAAGAGGAGTGTCCAGCTTGATCTCTGAGCAGAGCTGGACACAGATGCCAGTGCCCAGACACGTTCCTTTTTTTTAATAGAACAATTCCGGTATGAGTCCCTTTCCACATTAATGAAAATCATAGCTCTCAATTGCCTGGACACAAAGGACTCTGGGTAGTATCATAGGTTACAGAAGATGTTAGGAGGTTTACTTCCTTGGGAAGCTATGGATTAAGGAGTCATGTCTGACCAAGTCATCAATAATGTCTGTCCCAAAGTTGAAGACTGCAAAGAAATGCCTTGTGGTCATGTTAAATATAGAAGAGACGGGAGCAGAGAAAAGACAGGAAGAGCCAGTTTTTACTTTCTATGCTAAGATCTCTAGGGTATTGAAGGACACTGAAATTAGTCCTGGAATGCACAGCTTTTATGAAAGAACATTGGTTTACAGGTTGTGGGTTTGTGTTACTGGATCACTTTTCTCTTTCCCTCTCTGCCCTGGTTATCTTGCTTTGAGATTATTTTTGAAAGAATTATTTCATTTAGCATACACTAAGTTACTCTTGAGAGACCAGATATGGAACCAGCCCCGCAGGACGGTTTGGTGTGCTCAGTGGAAAGGTCACACTAGTGAGCTGTAGGATTGGAAAATCAGTACTACATGAAAATGAAGACCTAGAAAGGCTGCTTAGCAAAGAAATGCCCTCTTCCCTCCACTTATGGTCCTTGATTCCAAAATCCCAGCCATTTTCTCCAGTTAGGGGCACCCATCAAAAACATAGCCATACTGTACGTCCCTAGAATAAAACAAGTCATACAGGATCTGAGGTAACCAACCACCTTTGTTAGCACTTTCCAAGGTGGAAGAGCCCCTTCCAGTTGATTCCAGATTGAGGCGCAATTTCTTACCTTGCAGTTGAGATGAAACTTATATACAGTTCAGTGCACAAATCAAAGAAGTACAGATACAGGCATTTCCAAGTAGCTGGACATTCATGTGACGTCTCAGAGACATGACTCCTGCACCCTAGGAGGTGTCCATGTGCTCAGGGCACCATTCTGTGAAAAGTACTTCGATCCTCCAAATTTGTGCCTTCATTCTTTTCACTTCTCAGGTATAATGATAAGGGGATAAAGACCCCACCATCAACACAAAGCAAGACCACAAAGACAGTACAGCGTTTCACAAGTCCCTTTCCTCCCTGGCTGCTTCTATGCAAAGCAAAAGACAAGAGACTTCTGCCACTCTTTCCACTCCACACTGGTGCTCTCCTCTCCCATGCCTTGACTATTAACAAAAGATTTGTGAATATTAATGAGTCTAGCATCTATTCTTGAGATACGGATATAAATTTTAATTCTCCGCAATAGCCTGTGGACAAGTGTGTCCGCAATAGTCTGAGGACTCTACCAACTTGGCCCACCATGTCTCCACCTCCAGTACACTGTTAGGATAACTTCCCTTCCCTGTGTACTTTGGGAAGTCGATGAATACTACTCCCTTGAACATTTTCATTCCACCATAAGCCACTATTTGGAATCATGGAATGGCTGGGGATGTAGCGCAGTGGTAGATCACTTGAACAGCATGTGTGAGTCCTGGGTTTCCATTATCAATAAAACAGAAGAGAGAAAAATAAATTGGAAAAAGTGAAGCTTCTCTTGGGTGGATTCAGAGTTGAGCCATCAGCTGTAATCTACAAGAGGAATAATTTTCTTTTCAGATGAGTAATTCCTAGCTGACTCTTCAGAGCCAGCCCAAACCAGTCTCCCACATAGACTCAAACTCATCTCTTAGTCACCTTATGAGTTGTTCTCCCAGACTTTCATCAAGATTCCTTTGCCATAATTTTCTATCTAGTTGGGTTTCATACATGCAGTTAGGAAGATGTGTGTTGAAGAGTTTTGTTCTGATATTCTGTTATTTATTTTGTAAATTAAAAATGGAAATGTATTTTAAATTTATTATGTGTTTATCTTGTTACTGCTCTTAGATTAATAAAGTGAGATCATGGACCTTGTAATTTTTCTCTATTGACACCTCCTTCAAGACACATTGTCCCCAGAGCTCCTCTGGTTCATTGCATTATGGGTCCTATTAGAAACGCATACTGTGGGGTCCCAGTGTCTGTCTTGGCAGAGAAATGATAAAAACTGCAAGCCATTTGCCATTTTGCCTTCCATGTTCCGATAGGAATCCATTGCATGCACACAGGTTCTTTGTACATTCTTCATGGATCACTAGGCACAGGTAAGTGGAGAAATAAATGTTTTACAAAGTAGGGGGGCCAATGTAATCTATTATTTTTTAAAACTAGCACTGTTCAGTATATCTAAGGATTGCCCAAGTCTGTAACACCAGCACTAGGCAGCTGGAGGAACACCGTTTTATCCCATTCAGAGAACCCCATAGCTGGTTTCAAAGAAACTGCCCCAGAGACAGCAAATGACAGCAGACACCTGATACTGCAAGTACAATATGTAAACCAAGTGGCTATATGGCTTTAAAAAAGTATGTTCGTTAATAGCAAGTTCAAGGCCAGGCTGGGCCACATGAGACCGTCTCAAAACTTTCTAAAGATTGTAAACTATATTGTTTTTTATAGTTATTGGAAGTGGAAGCTCATCGTTTTGACTGCTATGTGTTGACTAAATAACTGTTTCGCTTTTGTTCCATGACATCACTGCCTAATTTTAGTCAAGTAAGAGTAAAGAACTCTTGATTCCGTCTTAAGATTCTTCCAATGGAGACCCTTGGGAAACCTAGCGTTGTGCAGTCTCAGGTGTTCAGAGGAATTCTTTCCCCCACCCCCCACGGGATGTCTCTGGCCCATATTCAAATTTCTTAGCATGGGTCTCTACCCCACTTCTGTGGGTAGGGATCAAGTCAGTCGGGGAGCTGAGAGGCTTAGTCTAAAGGGAAGAGCATAACAGTACAGAACGTTCCCAAGTCTCCCAATCTGTCAAATAGGCATTTGCTGAAATTTGAGTTTTCCCAACAGTTCCCTAGCCACCAAGTCACGAGGATAAAGGAGAATCGTGGTGTCCTGGTATCTGGGACCTCATGGAGAAGTGGTCACCAGCAGGACCAAGTTGACTGTGAATTCCTTACCAAAATATCCCAGCTGTCAAGGTTCTGCTGGCTACTCCAGTGCAATACAGGGTGACTATGGGACAGGACCATCTCAGTGGGTCTCCCAAACCCTGAGCCTCGCTCTCCTCATTTCAAAGTGAAGACAGTAATAGCTATTTCCACCTGGTTAAAGGATTTGTGCTTGTAATCTAGCATGAAAGCTGGCTGTGGTCTTTATGGACAGTAAACGGTGGCAAGCTGATTTGGTCCAGGAGACAGGAACATCAGGAACCCGTCTCCAGTGGACTGTTTTCATACATTCATGCTGAGTGGAATATCAAAATGTCAGGCAGGTGGGTTGTCGTAGGTCTTGGTTTCCACTATGATTTCAATGTGGTGTGTGCCCTAGAGGTTCAAATGCTGGAAGTCTGTCCACAAGGTAAGGATGTTGAAGTCAAACTTTTGGGAAGAAGTGAATCATCAGATCATATGACAGCTCCCTCAGAAGGGACTTGTGCCTCTCTCATGGTAGTGGGCTAGGTCCTGTGAGACTGAACCATGAGAACAGAAGTACAATGTCAAACCACCTCATGTTTGCTTCTTCTATGATGGCCCCACATCACTCTGACATGTGCTCCCAGGACATGATACCATCTGGCAGATTACGATACAGCATGAGCCCCTGTCCAGATGTGGCCTCCAGAGCTTGGACCATTTAGACTCCAAAATTATGAACCAAAAGAAATGTGTCTATGAAGTACCTAGCCTCAAATATTTTGCTGCAAAATCTCAATGTATACACCTGGGCAGATGACATGGAGCCCTGGTTCCATCTCTGCTTCAATGGAAGTCTAGCTGACTTCGCGCTGCAGTAGAAGACTGAAAGACAGCCCAAATCTCAATGTATACACCTGGGCAGATGACATGGAGCCACTGGACATGGAGCCCTGGTTCCATCTCTGCTTCAATGGAAGTCTAGCTGACTTCGAGGGGAGGGGAAAGGCTTGCTTTCTTGGCAGCAAGAAGCCCTGATCTTGGCTCTACCTTGAGTTCTAGAGAAGGGTCAAAGATGGAGTGGAATCTGTGGAAACTAAGTGAACCAGCTTTATCTGGCCTCAGCCAATGTGTGAGCACTCTCCCTGTGGGTGCTGGGCAGAGGTGGGTATGAGCTGTGGAATACAGATCCTTAAACAACAGACACAGGATACTCTGTTTGCTTTCCCATCTCCTACCTGTACACAGATCTAAAGAAGTGTCTTCAGAGCTTGGAGTCAGAGAAACATCACATTTACACAACTTTATCCATATCACTTTATTATGAAGTATGTGCTGCTTGGTATAAGAATTCTTAAAACGCACACAATTTACAGATCTATGATGGGTCACAAATTTCAGTGTTAATGTTAGACTTAGGTGCTGTGGATCCTTTCTGGACCAGGATGCCCTACATCTTCTTCTGCCCAGTTTCCTCTTCAATCAGACTTTCCTGAAACATAGGTTAACATATGACTAGCTGAATTTCATTATATTTCTGACATGTATATTGTGAAATGCAGATCTAGGAAGAATAGATAGATTTATTACCAAACACTTGCAAGTGCTGGAAATGTGGCAGATCATATCTTGTTAAGCTGTTAATACACACAAAATCTGCATGAACAGTAGTTTACAGGTTGGCATTGTGTGTGAGGAGCTGACGGAGGATCAGTCCATTTGAATCAAACCCACCTTTCTTTCACTCCGTAATTTCATGTCTGGGGGAATTTCAGCTCCTGTTACTTTTATCAGGGTATAAGAACAATTAAAACAAGAAAGGAAATAAAGATGTCTATTCTCTTTGTCTGGTGGGTATGGAAATTGAAGTCAATGGAGAAAATTATAAAAATAAAGGTTGGAGGGGTATATATGGGGTGTGGCGGCACACAACTTTAATCCCAGCATTTGGGATTAAAGGCAGGTGGATCTCTGTGAGATTAAGGCCAGCCAGGTCTACATAGCAAGTTCCAGGCCAGCTGGGGCTACAGGGTGACCCCTCAAAAACAAACAAAACACCTTCCCTGTATCATTTGTTTAAGATGTTCTCTGCTCCTGGGTATGACAGGTAATTAGCTGTATGCCTTCTGACTGCCAGGGGCTTCAGGACACTGACACTGAATTCAAGACTCAGTTTCCCCATTCAGTTTGTTTTATACTTTTGTTTTCATCAAAAACCTATGTTAGAGCTGGGAGTGGCCATACACACTGTAATCAAAGCTTCTTGAGAGACTGAGGGAAGAATTCCCAAATTTAAGTCCAACCTGGGCTGCACAAGTTTGAAGGCAGTCTTGGAAACTTAGATCCTGTCTCAAACTAAAACCTAAAAATTAAAAAAAAATGTTTTGGAGACAGGGCCTCACTCTGTAGCCCTGGCTGGTCTGGAACTCGCTATGTAGATCCTGAGTATGTAGTTCAGGCTGATCCTGAACTCACAAAGCTCCACCTGCCTCTGCCTCCAAGTCCAGCCTAAAAAATGTTTTTAAAAATGGGGAAAGACTAAGGATGTAGCCCAGTGGTGCGGTGCTTTCAACGTATGCAAGATTCTCCCTGACTAGGTTCAATACTCAGTACTGAGAAAGGACATGGAGGGAGGGAGGGAGGAAGGGAGGGAGGGAGGGAGGGGGGAGGGAGGGAGGCCTCTATTATACTAGATTTCTTTTTATGGAGGGAATTTAGAGCTAACAGAAAACTGGAAATCAAATCTGTGGCCCTGAATTATAAACTTCACAAGTTTAAAATTCTGTATCCACAGTCGGGGGAATGATCTGGAGCCCTGTTTCTGGTTTCTACGGTTCCCAGAGTCCTGGGAAACCATGTCATGGAGGAACTGCTGAATCAAGTGGAAAGTGTTGAGTTTGTTGAAGGAGAGTGGTTGGGGGCTGCTTATTCCTTATGCACTGCAGGGTCAGTGGGAAGCAATTTGCTGGCCATCCTAAGGACTGAAGCTGCGCTAGCACCTAAAGGTGGGTTAGACAGAGATTTATATTCAGTTTAAGAAAAAAAGTTTCCAGAAAGGAGTGCTCTCTAATCAGAGTGGGCACACTATGAGATAGTGAGGGGCCTGCCACAGGGGTGAGCCTCCAACTGGCCCTGTGGTGGTGGTCAGATGTCTTATCCAAAGACCTTTCCCTCTCTAGCTCCGTGTGGTGACCACTGTAACTCACCAGAGCTCCTTTCAGGTCCCTGAGGGGCGAGGGAGGCCAGTGGATGGTGCATTCAAAGTGCTGGGGTTCTGCCAGGGGATCCACGGCTTTGGCTGTCTGGAGAAAAAGAATGGGCCTCTTAGAGATGGAGATGAAGAAACCAAAGGGTGTTTTCTACTTCCACCAAAATCTGGGGTTGTGGAGCTGAATGGGAGAGTGGGGAAGCTGCAGGGTCAGGACTGGGGGCTTTAAGGATACCCTTTTGAAGAATGGGCTGGAGCTCAGGAGGTAATGGGGACAGTAAGAGATCGTGTTATCTCAGAGACAATGAGTGTGAAGTACAGTAAAACCTCATGAACAAACAACACGAGAAGTTCAAGGGTTTACACCCACGAGCAGGGTTGAGTGTCTGTTAGGGTGACTGTTTTTGTTGCTGCTGTTGTTTCTTTTTCAAACAGGGTCTCACTCTGTCCCCACGCTAGCCTGAGACTCACTGTGAATCCCAGTCTGGCCTTGAAGCAGCTTAAAGTAGTGAGTCTGTATATCGAATTGATAAAGGGTAGAGTTGTGATGGTTGTTTTTAATTGTCAACCCTGGAACAATGTAGAATCACCTAGGAAGAGATTCTGAGTGAGAGACTTTCTAGATAAGGTTGGCCTGTGAGACACTGTTGGTTCTTAACTGATGGAAGACCCCATCCCCTGTGGGCAACACCACTCTCCGAGTCTGGGTCCTGGAAAGCAAGCTGAGTGCGTACTAGGCATGCCATGTGTCTATTCTTACATGGATTTAACTTGCCGCTTGGCTTCCTGCCTTGACTTCTCCATAGTGATGGACTAAAATCTAGAATTGTGAGCCAAAAAAACCTTTTCTCCCCTAAATTGCCTTTTGTCAGGGTGATTTTAATTACAAGACAGAAATGAAACTAGGACAGAACTCCTTCTGCCCCCAGGGCTGGAGTCACAGGTGTGAACCACCACTCCCGGCTAGGTTGGATTCTGTTTTCTGGCCTTTACTGGACATTGTTCAATGACATTTGCTTCACAAATCTACGGATCAGAGGCTGAAGATTCTGGGGCTTTTTCATGACATTTTCAGAAAGATAACATTTTGGCTTTAAGTTTCTTCAGTTACATTTCCCATTCTCAGCCCAAAGTTACATTTTGGTTTAATCGAACACAAATGGTTCCTCTCACGCAATCCTCCCCGCCCCTAAGAAGCCACATTTTATAAATTAAACAAGTGCCCTGTGTTAATGCTGGTGCTAGTACTGTTATCTAACCTATATGAAATTAAACCTGGTAGTTTTTCCTCTCACTATTCTTAAACTGGTAACTCCTGGGTCCAGGTACCCCAGGTTCTTGGCTTCAATGCCACTGTCAGTACAGTATCATGAGAAGAGATAGCGTGTCCATCCTTCACAGGGGATGCTTCTTTGTGAATTATAAAACTGTACTGATTCAATGTCATAGATATTGAGAGCGAGACGCGTCTTACACTTCCTGCTCACCCCAACTTTTGCTTTTGGTTTCCTTAGTCTCTCTACCAAAAGTACAAGTAGGAATTTGTCTCTCACCCTGTGGAAGTCCTGCCTCCCTGCACCCCTGGGGCTCACACTACATGGCTCAGCAGGTGAGCAGGGAAGCTTACCTCTTGGAAAGCATCAGCCAAGCGCTCAGTACTTCTCTTGCCTCCTGGGCGCAATCCGTAGGACCAGTGTTGGCTGGAGCAGCCTTCCACCCACAGAGTCAGCAGCAGAAGAGTGACCACAAGTTTGGGGGTCAGCTCCATTCTAAGAAACATCAAGACACAGTCACTACAGACCCGGATTGTGGGGAGTGAAAATCAACAACTCTGAATGCACAGCCGAGCATCTGCATCACTAATCCTTCCAAAGCTGGAAGTGGGAACCGTACAATTTTAACAGACAGGCATCTATCTGCTTGCTTGAGTTTCCTAGCCATTGCGGACAAACACCTGTACTTTAGCACACACTTCTGTTGTGCTAAAGAAGTCCACTTTTATTGTTTGCTTGCTTATCCAAAACCTTGTACATTCACCCCTTATCAATTTCACATTTTGCCTGCAGACTGCGGATTGGTTCCCAGCCATTTGTTAAGAGTAAGGAAACTAAACCATCAGCTAGGAAAATAAGCCCCCTAGGTATCTCCAGTTAATATGAAGTTGCTCAACTTTTAACTGTGGTAATAAGCATTCCTGCTGGCTGGGCCACCGGTGAAGCTTCATGGAGGACTCAATACTACTCTAAGTGCTGAGCCTATAGCCAATGCCTCCCTTGCTGAGGGAGCCTCTAGTTACTTGATGAAATGTGCCTCGATTTATTTTCATCTGATGGGGACAAAGTTAAAGCCAAAGTCCAACACTGAGTTGCTGGGTTCCCCAAAGGTTGGATCCCCACCTTTAGAGGCGTGATAAGGTCAGTGAAGGTCAAGGCTTCTACAGACACCATCACATCTAGACTTGGCCCTTGGTATAAAATACCCTTTAGATAAACAGTAACAAGCAACATTAAAAATAGTGTTAGAAATGCAAAGTCTTTTACCTGTTTGGAGGCAAAAGCCAAAGAGATCCCAAGTGTCCTTTGGTGTGTTGAGTATCTCGACATCACTATTTTCTAGCTTCCTTTTTATATGAAATTTCTGCAGGACACTGAAATCTTCCCTGCTGGTGAATGACGCAGCACATGGACCAGTTTTAATAGTGATTTTAAAACCCTTACAAAAGGCCTTTTAATGGTGTATGTAATTGGAATACCTGCTGATCTTATCTGGTACATTACTTAAATCTGGCCATTAAAATCTTAGTTGAAACTTTTTACAGCTGAGGCCACTATCCAAAGAGATTAAAACCCAGCTAGGTTGGATTCCCTTGAGGAAGCCAGC